TGTTTCTGCAGACAGGTGTCAGGTGACATCATTAACTAAACACCAATCAGACTCGTGGACACAAATGTTTGGACACCAGCTAACAGCTAAGCTAAGTCTCGATGTAAAGACCAGTGGAGTCCAGATCAGGTGGAACAAAGAGCCGGAAGAGAAGGACAAGAAGAAAGGGCTTCAGTGACAGTGAAGTGTAGACAGAGGGGGCGGAGTCAGTGAGACACAGGTGGAGGAGGTTCAGTAATCACCATGGAGGGAAGTGCAGGACGGAGACAAACGGACTTGTGTTGTACAGGGAGTGAATCGACAAGACGGAAAACAAGAGTCGACACGGCGGAAGTAAAGGTAATGGAAGGAACTGATGAAAAAAAAAAGAGAAGAACTTAACCAGAGAACAGGGTCTGACACGTCAGGAACTGTTTCTGCCAAAAAGAAGCAAAACATTTTTTCACCTTCACACCTTCTTTCAACAACATTTCTGTAGAAAGTTTCACCTATAAATGGTTCATATTCCTCGGATGGTCCTCGAAAAGGACTTGAAAAACAAAGCTGTAAGGAGTGGAACTGTTTGTGGAACTGTTTGTTAATGTGAAAAAAAATGTGGAAAACAGATTGATTATGAACAGTCGTGATTAGTCATGATTAATTGGTTTTATCAACATTTTTAAATGTGACAAATACTCGGTCGTTCCTGACCAGAACTCCGTGAGGCCTGGGTGACACTTCACCTGATGTTGGAGCCTCACAGTGTCTGAACATCAAGTAGAATCACTGTTTATGTGCCAACTATTCTGCTAATGCTTAAAAGTTCTATGAAAAATTAATCAGGGAAATTTAACACATTAATAATTCCCGTTAACGGTCATTTAAACCGATCTAGTAATGAGTGAAAATCACTTTTACGATGTCGGAATTTTTCCCTTTTTTTCCCCGTCACGTCAAAGAATCAGTGACTGCATGTGTACGTGTTTATTTCTGACATTCTTGATCGATGAGCGTTAAACTTAACTGTCGATCGTTTCTAGCCCCTGGACTACGAGGGCACATCCTATCACAGACTTCTCATCAAAGTGGAGAACGAAGAACCCCTGGTTCCGTACGTGGGCTACGGCCCCAGCTCCACCACCACCGTCCACGTCTCGGTCCTGGACGTCAACGAGGGTCCGGTCTTCTTCCCCGACCCCCTGATTGTCACCAGGATGGAAAACATCCCGGTGGGCAGCTCCGTAGCCTCCCTCAACGCCACGGACCCCGACATCCTCCAGAAACAGAGCATCAGGTAAGAGTCGGAGTGCGACTGACCGAAACTGTGCTCGTCTTTTAAGAAAATGTGAGTGGAGTGGTAGAAGAAGAGGTGTTTGTGTAACGCGATGGTGCTAACAAAGATGAACTGCTGCTTTAACCGCCGCCTCTGAACTCTGTGTCTCTCACGGCCCTCGTTACTCCCGTTTTTTATCTCCTCACCGTGATTCCATTCTTCCACTGTTCCCTTCACGTTTGTTTGGCTCCCGTGTCTGTGTCTGTGTCTGTGCTGCGTCTGTGTCTGGGTAAACAGATGAAATATACCGCCAAGAAATTTGCAAAGTAGCGACACAGGTCAGAGCGCTGGCCCCAGTCAGATGGAACAGCAGAGACGGGGCAGCTCATTAACTTTAACTCTCTTATAGAATCAGCCCTGTTACCGTCGTCATAACACGGACGCCGTTAGCTTCACTGTTGCTACAATAAAAACCAGCTCTTCT